GGCATTTTTTGATTAATGTTTTATAAACATTTTTCAGCATGACAGCTTAAAGTCCCTGTAAAATTGTAAATGCGTGCATAGTGCTCACTTCCATAAAGTCAAATGCCATCTCATAAAATCTAGTTGGATCCTGTCAGTGACAGTGACACAGAATCAGTACCTTGGAGCATTAAAATTAATTTGCTTCATTTATATTACTGCAGTGATAGCTAGATGAAAAGAGTCCTATATTTAAATTCTCTTAAAAATACCTTCAAATCTTTTAGGATTTTTTATTATTATTATTTTACAGTTAACTAAATGTAGTGAAGTGCAGCATAATATTTTCATGGACCTTTTAAGAAGGTGACTACAAAACGGGAAAGTAGCAAAGGGGAAAGGGGAGGATGTGGGAGGTTATACTGGGTGCAAAGCTGGAGGAAGGATAAATAGCTTTCAGTTGTGCAGGCTACTAAAGAAACAGTGGCCTTTGACCAGGGCTGATAAAACACAGCCTTGGAGCCAAACTGGAATACCCTGGAGCAATGGAGAGCAAACAGGGCCTCCTTCTACCAGACCGTAAGAGCAGTCCGCTCACTCTTCCTTGCCATTGTTGAAGGTCATGGATAAGCAGCTTTCCTCTTGCTAGCTCTTCCTCAGAGCTAGCGAAGTTGTTACATGAAATGTAACAGGAAAACAGGGAGAAAAAGGAAATGTACTGCATATCCCAGGCCTCATTCGCTTCTCTCTGTTGCAGTGGGACTGTGATTTTAGTGCCCACTGCACTTAGTGGAGCTCAGTGATTTTAGTGGAAGTACCCAGAATTTACACTGCTGCAAGTGAGCAGAATCAAAGGTCTTGGGAAGCAAAACCAAGTAGGCTGGAAGCATGGGAGTGGAGAAGAGGAGGAAAAAGGAGGAAGGGAGAAAATACAAACTGAAAAAGAGCCTCTGAATACCGGAGCCAAGGAGCAAGGAGGAAGATGGGATCACAGGGGAGCACTGGTAGGAGAAACATAGCCGAAGGAGAAGAGGAAATTCAGGGTAAAAAGCTGGGCATACCAATGATCTTGTTTGTAAGGGATATCTGTGGGATGATCTCAGCGCTTCCTCCTTTCTGCCACAGCTCTCTCTAGTCCTGAACAGGTGAGGTGCTGTTTTCTCACCCAGCTGGGTACCACACTTCTCTTCTTTGGAAAAGGATGGGATACAACCCTGACTGGCGCCTGTCACAGAGTTTGGTCAGCTCTGATCCAGGAGTTGGACACACATTCATGTCCAAGGCTGTCTAAAAGATTTTGGCAACTCAACAGTTTTTTACACTCCTACTTTGAGCAAAGCTGTCCAAGTTGGCACCAAACCACAGAGAAGCACTTTGTTATTCAGTTCTCATGATAAGTAGTGAGTGAGGGTCTTTGGCAGAGGAGTCAAACCAAGCTGCTGGAAGCCTGTAACTCCATAAACCGCAGCAACGTGAACGGGTGTTTGTGGCATGACCCTTTGTAACATGACAGCAGTCTTAAAACTGAGCAAAAAGATTGTCTATAAACTGATAATGCCAGTGTTGTTCCTCAAGTGTCAATCAAGATGAAGACCCATAGAAGTCAGTCCAATTACCCAGATAAGCACGATTAACGGCTTAATGTAAATGAAACGAAAAATCCTTACAGGCATTATTCTTTATGCGTATGAATGAAGCCTTAATGCTCCAGATGGCAAATAAATACCCTAGTAATATTGGGGGGTGGGGAGAGGGAGGAGCTGCTGTGTACTTGGATGAAACTTAAGATGAAGATAGTAGTCTGGGGTTTAATATAAGTGATTTGATCCCGTGCAAAATTGTATTTATCTTAGACTTAGTTTAGCTATTGTACTCCATTGGCACTGGAAGCAATATGGTATAAAAGATGAAGAAGAGAGGAGCGGACAGCCCAAAATAAAGAGAACTATATCCATTTTGCTTAACACCTTCATTCCTTGCTCTCTATCTGAAAGATTTAAACTCATCTCACTTTATTAGTTCTGTTATAGCTGCACTGTTCATGTCACTACTGTTTCAGTCAGTGTTTCTGTTACAGCTTCTCTTAGTGCTAGTTTATAATCTCATCTGGAAAACGCGTTACAGGCTAAGATTCAGCATACAGCATCAGCGCAGGCATTATAATGACACTTTTCTTCTTTTTTCATTGTGTGGGTTTTGGGGTTTTTTAAAGTTTTTTATATATATTAAAAAATACAGTTATTTACTTTTTTAAGAGAAGGAAAAGTAGCTATTAAAGTATGGGTTTGCTAATTATGAATTTGCATGAGTTTTGTCTATTTGGAAAACATTAGCAGTCACTATGATGCTTGCAGTTACAATGTGCTGCTGTGAAAAAGTTTAGACAACATTTTTAAAAACAAAATAAAACCCATGCTGTTTTGTTTAGCTTTGTGGTAATATTACTGACACAAGCATTTGTGAGTGTAGTCTGTGGATCTCTGTCATGAGATATTTTCTGAGACACCTGCATACTGGCAAAGTTGGAATTATAAAAATCAGAAAGTGCATAAAAGGGCAACAGGACTTTTTCTTTCCATTGAACTAATGCTTACCTGCAAAAATATTATTTCTTCTTTTCACCAGTTAGTTTTTCCTGGTAAATAACAGGAACTTTAATTGCACATTAGTAGCTTACAAGAACCTATTGTTGTGACATGTATTTAAACAAGCTGTGAATTAAGAACCTCTTTCCACTCAGTGATCTAATTATATTGTCACACTAATTATAGTATTTTGTATTTATATTTGACAACTTTAATTTTCCTTTCCTAGTTTACTGAAACAGCTTTCCTCTAGAGAATTTACCTTTTAGGCTGGAATTTCTCATCTTTTTGTTCAGAAAATGTACAGTAATTTAAAGTACGTCTCAGTCACTTTGGATCCATTCTGTTTACGTCTCTGCCGTTAGTTTTCTGTGTGATCTTAGGCTAGTCATTTTAGTGTTCTCTGATTCTCTGTAGGAGTCCTGTTCAGTTTACTAAAGTGGTTTTGGATCTGTGGATGAAATTGCACTACCAAAACACCAGGTACTGTCTTACGAACATAAATATAGCTTGTTCGTAGGTTGGGACTCTAGATTATTTTTCTGTGGTTAGAGAACAGAAAAGGACCCACAAGGGTCAAGTTGAGCCTTGGAAACAGGCAATAAAACCTTTATCTGTTTACAAAAACAGTACAATGGGCATTTGAAGTAAATTGCACTCCTTAATATAATGCAAATGCCCATTTAATTTCTAGCCAAATACCATCTATTCCCAAACCCTAGAAATTAGTGTTGTTAATAATAAGCAGCCCTATTGTGTGATAGGTCCATAATGTTGTTTTGAAGGTAATTATTATATTGAAATTAAGCCCGCAAGCCTTTATTTATTTGATTTAATCTTTCCCTGGAAATACCCACATAAGTAAAGGCTACTAGTATGGGGACAACATTGCTAGTGGTGTAATGTGATGAAGCTAATCAAAATAATTACAAGAAATGGTGCTGCGGAAACATCATGAAGATCTCAGCAAGCCTAGATATGTGTCAGCAATAGTAGGGCACTGGTGGAGTGGTAATACTCAACAAATAAGCTGTTTCTGCATATAGTGAGGAGGTAACTTTCATTAAGGGAAACCTGAAAGGGTGTTGAAAATGGGAATTTATCCAAGACGTAGAAAAAAGTTTATGTAAACATGGCAACTCTGGCTGATCTGAAACATCTGCTAATGGGGGCGTGGAGGGCATGTGGCACAAAGCTCAGCTTTTTGTCGTTGCTAAGAAAGGAGATAGACAGATGAGCTCTGTGAAACCTGTGTGTAGTCTGCTTCACTGCAAGGTTGATGCTGGCAGAAGATTCCTAGAATGACATTTAAGATTCCTAGAATGACATTTAAGATGAGGGAGAAAATAAGGTATGTTCTCAGGGGGCTCCTGAGGAATCACAGCTGCTCTTGTTGGCAACTATGCAAATGTCTGGTCAAGCAAGACAGATTGCAAGTTTTGCCCACACCTATGCTTTGTGGAGCATGGTAGCAAAATTCCAAGATTTAAACAGATAATTTTGAGCAATAACATGTTCAAAGTAAATATAGTTGGTTTCATTACTGCAAAACTAAATCAAATTTAATTTTCTATATCACATCATCAAGTGGGAAGATTATACATGGAGGTGTCTAATAGAATTAGCACTGTTGAATGCAAATTCAAGCTCTTAGGAAAAATGGCCCATCTCTAACTCTTAATGCTCATTCATTCCAGCAACTAGCAACTTCTATTCTCCAGCTGCTCCCTAACTGTTCATAGGCATGACCACTTCATCTTGCTCACTGAGTTCACTAAACCTTTTCTCTCTCATGCTGTATCTCTTCTGAAACATACAGGTAGAGCAGGGAGTTTTGTTCTCTAACACAGGAGCACTCACCTGCAGAGTACTTGACTCTCTACCTTGACTGCATGAATCAGTCAAAGCAGGGAAGGCTGTCATTTGGGTACTCGCCTGCCAGCAGGGAGTATGCCAGGAAAACGCAACTCTCCTCCAGTGGTGAATGGACTGAAGAAAGGTTACAAGCAGGAGTCGGGCAGTTGGATGGAGGACAATCATGGAAACACGAAACAGAGTGCAGTGAGAGGACGCAGTAAATAAGCAGTACAGAACTGTGCTGAACTCAGCAACCAAACAGTCATGCTGTAGTAGAACGCATTTTATATCAAGTCTTCAGCATTCTATTATCATAGTTAGAAAAGATCTTTTATGGCATTCCCCTTCTCCTTCCTTTCTGCCACAGAAATTTCTTTGCCATGTATTTTCTTTTGTTTATGTTCTTGCTGGTTTATTTGGGCTGGTTTTTTTATGTAAAAGTTCTGAATCTTCATTTTGTTTCTTTTGCCTTTGGTTGGGGTTTTCTTGTGAAATGTCAATGCAACATAAAATGCTTTGCTTTTATCTGGAGCTCAAAGTCTGAAGTGAGACTCTTGTCTCCTGTTTTTCTGCCTGCAGGGATTCCAATGCTGAAGATAGTATTTGCAGGTTATGAGCACCTATCCTTAATTTCCGTCCCCTTACTCATCTATCATCCTGCTCAGATTCTTCTTGGCAGTCTGTTGGTACCAACGATAAAATCTTGGATGGTTTCTAGGCAAAAGGTAAGAATTGCTGGGTTTGATTTATAATGGAAAGTGTGCTATGAGGCAAAAAATACCTAAACACGTCTTGCACTCCTCACGTTCTTTCTTGGAGATGCCATGGTAGGGATTATTCCTCTTTCTTTACTTCCTTTAGGACAGTGATAGTCACAAAAGTATCAGATTTAAAATGCTGAACTTTATCCCCCTTGGCTTCAAAAAGGTTCAAATCTTGAAGTTAGACCTCTACACTTAGTTCGAATTATGAATTAATTCAAATTATGAATTCTGATTATGCCCAATAAGAATGGCTCCATCTTTAGCTAATAATCACAGCTTTGAATCTCCCTTATTGGGAAGGGACAAAGATCTGTCCACTAGCATGGGAGATGGGGAAGTCAGGTAAAATGAGGGCACTTTCTGAATTGAACTGAAGCAGAATGAAAACTTACTAATGTTTTGGAGTATTTTTTCTACTTGGGTCACCTTTTTCAATAGCAAGAGGTCTACAGGAGTACAGTGCATCACATTTCACGACAAAATTATGGCATGGGATAGCTTGTAGGTTTATAGACTATAACCTAGAGGTTTTTGTATTGACATCACTGTTTCAAATTATGCTTTTTTTCAGTACAAATTGAAGCTATTGACATCTGACAGCCATTCTGTGATCAATATGAAATAATAGCAATGGTTTTAGTCAGGTTTTTAGAACAGTAGTAACCACCTCACAGAAAGCTAGTCCATGCAACTGATTTTAATGCTGCCTTTAATGTTCTGAATAAGGATCAAGAAGCTGTGGCAACTGAAGCAGTCTTTGACAGCAACTTTAGGTGAAGGTTGAGAGCTGCTGTGGGAAGCCCAGCGCCACCAGTACCCTCCATTCTCCACTTGTCAGTGGAGAAATTTTTATTTTATAACTTCCATGTTTCCAATTTTCAGCAAGACCCAACAGACTGCCATTTTACTAGCTTCACTCCACTGAAGTCACCTTGCTAACTTGAATGCTAAAATTCCCCAAATCAGTGATTTTTTTTAATGTGGCTCCACTTTTGGTTACCTGAATTGTAAAAAGCAGGAAAACTCTCAGTTTTTGGGAACTGAGTCCAGAAATCAGACCTTGTTAAGATATACTTATCTTAGCATCCAAAAATGGAAGTTTGAGAACCATGTGACATTTCTCCATCAGTCTGAAAGTCATGATTTTTTTAGTCAGAAATTATCAGGAGACATTACCGGTTGTATAAAGAGAATTCCATGCTATTCCTGCAGAAAGATAGCCTAAAGTTAATACTACAGGTGACAGAACGACCCCTGCAGTGGTGGCTTCTCTTTGGCATCTAACTGTTCTCTGCTGCCAGGACTAGGAGTGGGGCTGGAGCTCATCCAGACCTCCCTGATCCTCAGAGGTGGTAATGGCCTTTAGGGACTGCTGTCAGTTGCTGCAAGTTAACACAGCCTTAAAACAGGGCAGCAGAGAAGTCAACCAGTACTGGAGAGATTTACAGTTCACCAGCACTAGTTTCTTATTCATTAAGCATCAAATAAACCTCCTGTGCTAATCAGACTGTAATGCTACCGTAGAGCCACTTTGGGGGATTGTTGTTCTGTTGCAGCCGTTTCTTCAGTTGGTCTTCTGTATTATTCACAAATGTTATTTTAATTACTCTTTGAAAAAAATCAATGAGCTTGGGTCTGGTACAGTTATAATAAGTATAATGGAAGTGAACGTTGTGACTGGATAATGGTCTCCCGCTTTGAAAATAAACATGTCATCATCACCCTTGATGTTTATTTTCTATAAACACCTTGGCTTCATTTTGGCATCTCTCTTGCAGGGGGAGACGGTTATCCAGTCACAGTACTCAACTGCAGTGACATTCTTACTTAATTATGATAGTACATGTGATCTGGTTGTATGAAATTGAATTTAAATATTTAGAGGTTCATCTGCACTAAGGTATTTCTAGTTTGTAAATATGGCAGCAGAATCTGCCAAACTACAAAGTTAAAAAATTGTTTCCCCAAACAAAATGTGGAATGATGTCTCTCTCCAAAGTCTCTTTCTGAATAATATCCAGAAGACTAATCTCAAATGGCTAGATTTAACAATAGCTAAATGCTAAAAGCTTTGGATTTTTTTAAGGGTTTACATTTGTGCTGGAGCGTTTTTCAAGCAGTGCTTACAAGCTTTAAATGTACGATATTAAAGGCTGATATCTACAATAAGAAGACCCATCAGACATCTCTCAGACTGAAAATTGCTTGTTTAGCCAACCCTCCAGAAATGATAAGTCTCTTGCTCGAGGGGCAAATGCCAGTCTGTCAGGGCACTTCACCCAAAAGGCTAAGGAAAACAGAGGTTCCAAATTCCAGGAATTTGCAAATTTCCCCTCTCACTCAGGCTGATTCGTCCTGCACAAGGAAGCACTGAGCTTTTTTGTTGCAGAGCACACCAACAACAGGCATCCTTCACAGTGACCACATCGGTACACAGGAGCAGCTGAAAACTTAACACCTTTTAAGCCTGTCATATTTGCCTTCTAAGTTAGAGGGGCTGCTTCCTGACAAACTAGAAGCACGATCACCTGTCGTTTGAGTTGGACTTTTGTCACACACTGAATAAATAGTTCGGCTACCATAGTTGGCCAGCCCCGTGGGGAACACAGACCTGGACCCTGCTGTCAAAGGCATGTGGTTTCTCTCCTCCTCAGTAAGAGTAGACTAGAGCTACAAAGACGTCAGGTGTCCCCTGGCGTAAAGTCACCTCTGGACTGATGGACTTTGGCTTATTGTTACCTTTTCTTAGAAAAGGCATCCACCACTGCAGCAGTGACTATACTCTGAGCAGGCTTCGAGCCGTATGGAAGGAGGCCAGGGAACACAAAGGTGTTGGCAGAAATTTTCTTCACAGTCTTTCCCGAAGTGGGTCAGAAGCTCTTGTATCTGTGCCACAAGTGGTTTGAGTGGGGTCCAAATAGTTGCTTTCTAAAAGACATCTGAGACCCACTGATACTGTAGCCATATTCCTTGTGGTTCCCCTGCTAGGGCTATCTGTATATGAGGAGGTTGTGATAGGCTATCAGAGATAAAATCATCATCACAAAACCCAGGGTGGCCTGTCAGCTGCATGCCCACACCTCACTCAGCCTCCTAGAAGGACACGCAGCATTTTGTTGGCCCTTAGAAATGAAAAATCTTGTCTTGTGCTGTTGTTTGGCTTTCAAAAGTATAAAAAAGTGACTGTTTTGTTTACTGTTCACAGGCACTGAAGTTAACCAGGCAGCCCAAAGCACCCGTGAAGGTATAATTATGGAGATGGCCCGTGTCACAGTGAATGTATATATGTACTATACTGTACACACAGACAATTGAGACAACTGGGTATTTGTGAATGTTGCTTCAGTGCATATTTTATTTTTATACATATATATATATATATATAAAAGATACCTGTTAAGTGCCTTACAGATGCAGTTTTGGCAAAAGCATTGTTTCCAGACGCCACTTTGTTGGTTACTGCAAGAGGTTGTATAGTATTTTGGAGTCCTTTAGTTTTTATTTTTCTAACGGAGTGAATGGTCATGACTAACAGCTGTTGCTTCCATTGCCCCTGCTTTGAAGCCAGGGTGCATCAGCTGTAAGTCTCTGTTTTAAACTCGCCAAAATGACCAGAAGCCTATCCCACTGCTGGCTTAACCTGGGGAAAAGCTTTCTGAAGGTTTTTTTTCAAGATTGACTTGAATTTCTGTGTGACTCTGTTACACTCCCTAGTCATATGACTGTGACATGCCTTTTTCTTCTGAGTTTGTGTATACTCAGCATGGGGCCATCCATTGGATAGAAGCTGAGAAGCATGAATTATTTGCATTTGTTGACACAGTTGTCTAGACATTCCTTCAAAGTTAATGGTTTCTCAAGGAAATTCTTTCAATTCCATTGTATGATATTGTGCCATTGTATATCTTAAATGCCTCATAAGCTTCTTCAAAGAAATGGTCTGGTGCTTGGGTTATGAGTGAAGTATTTGTGTTTGCAGCTAGGAGATCTTTTATCATTTACCCCTGAAGAACACAAATTTTTGGTTTTCTTTTTTCTTTTCCTTCCTCCGGTGCAATGCACGGAGATCTGCAGTGACAGAATTTAGGATGCTAATGTTGAAACAGAGCCTTTTTTGTAGTAAGCCAAGCTATGTTTTCTATATTGCTGCACTGGTAATGAATAACAGCTTGTGAGGATAAGAAACTTGACATTTATTTTTTTTTTCCTAATTAAAAGGATCCTTATGGTAACAGAAATGCTATCTTAGCTAATTTGACAATCAGCCACAACTTTTTCTTAAAAAATAAAATGTTACTCTTTTTAATAAACTTACACAAAAAAGAATACAAAATACTATTTCTAAAAGGAGTGTTGAAGAGAAAGGAACACAGGCATATATTTAAACATATAGCCAGCACTTCATGTTGTCTGGGAGATTTGAGATTTCAGAAGTGTATTCCAGTCCAGACTCTGAGGTGTACCCATCTGCAAAAACTGTGCTGGCAATTGTGCATTCAAACATTAAAAGGAATGAAAGAAATAGGTCAAACTGGGATCAATTTAAATGCAGAAGTTTCACGTGTGTCATGGTTAACATTCCAGTTAATAGCGCAACTGAGTGCAAACACTTAGGAGCAGATCTTTAGCAGATGTAAATTATTGTAGCTCTGATAAAGCTATAGCCATTTACACAAGCTAAAGATCTTTTCTATGACAATAGGCACGTGAAATTCGTATCCTTTTGCCTTAGTGGAAAAAAATGTGTTTGGTTTACGTAGTCTGTTACTCCTAGTCCGTTATTCCTGCGAACAACAGGAAGGTAATCGGGTACCAATCATCGGTGCTTTCCCTGGTGGTCAGTCAGTGCAAGACTGCTCTGTTGCCATCGGTATGAGAAACTACTGGGAGCTGACAGCACCTCCTTGTTCAGAATGGTCATCACCAATAAAACGACCGTGTAACGAAGGTACGCGAGGTGGCAACATGCTGAATTCTTTCATTCGCTGGAGGGGGATCCAGCTCTGCAGACTGAGCAGGCAGGAGGGCTGAGGGGCACTGTCCACCGCCCGTGTCCCCCAGGGCTGTGCTCCCTTCTCGCTAGCCAGTGATGCAAAGGGCAGCGGGCAGTGAGCTCACAGTTTTGCTGAGCGCATCCCTAGAGAGCATAGTCAGACCCACCAACAGGCCAGCCTGCCAGGTGATTGGAGAGAATAGCATGTGTGTTCTTGGGCCACATTCAAGGTTCTCTTTCCTTAAGCATGCTAACCGGTAACTGGTTCCGTGTGGGAAAAAATTCCTTTGTCTGGGCTTAAAAACCCTGCTTGCAGCGAGAGTCCAGACTCAGGACAGTTTTGTTTTGTTTCTATAAACCTGAACTTCCAGACTACATGGGGACTTAATCCCAATCCCACTGAAATCGGTGACTCTTTCTGTTGGTTTTGAATGGCAAAGCAACTGGCCCAGAAAGACTCCTCACTTTTTTTTAAATATATAGGAAGAGTTCAAGCATACGGTAACTTACTGTGGTCGTGTCAACGCTAAATAGTCAGAACACTGCAAGCACCCTTACTGAGCTACCTCCACGTACTGAATCTCCGATTTTCATTACCTCCAGCAACTTGCTAGATTCCACTGAACACATTGATTTTTTTCTTTGTTGAATTTTTTCTACATTTAAGAATATTTCAAACTGTTTTAAGATGGAGTTTTGTTAAAGCCTTTACAGAGTCCTTGTTAATTGTGTGGGGCAGCCTAAATATTGTGTATGAGTGTTGGAGGTGTTGGTCTAAAGGGAATATAAAGCAAAACTGAAATACATATTTTAAACCTGTACTTAATTATGCATATCAATTCTGTTATGTTTAAAGACTGTTAAGATGTTTGGTTTATGACTTGTTATTATGCCTATATGTCTTTAATAAACAATGGTTTTGAATTTAATTTTGTTCATAGGAAAACAAGATAAAATTACTTATCCTCTAGGTCAACTTTTTACCTCTGTCACCTATGTTCTGTTCTTTTGTGGGTGAGCTTTTAAACCGTTTGCTCGTTCTTTAAAAAAAAAATCCGTGAACTGTACAGAAATATTTTATCAACTAAACTTGGGGAAAGAAAGTGCTCAGAATACTGCAAATTATTGTAAACTGAAAATTAATTAATTCATTGAACTCCACCAGTTTTTCAGTAGAGGGTTAGAACAGTTCTGAACCTTTTCAAGTTCTCGGCTTTAAATTTAACTGAGAGATATCTGGTATTGAACGTAATCAGGCAAAACTGATCGGAAATGAGAACTTTGCCCATGTTAAAACATAAGGATTTTCTTGATCATCAACACTTCTTATCTTCTGCATATCTATAATCCCATCTAATGATAGCACAGGAAAAAAACGCCCAAATAATAAAAGAGCACATCGGAGGTCACAGGGAATCTTAGCACTTTGTGTTGCATTACATTTTATTTCCCTTTTTGTGCACTAAGTTGACCCCAGTAATAGGTCCAAGATAAATGATTTTTTCTGTAGTTAAAATCAAAATTGTGGTTGTGTTTTTTCTTATAGATCCTTCAGTTAGTGTGAACAGGTTATATGACAGAAAAGGCAATCTTGGCAGAAGCTGCGCAGTTGTGCTTGTTCACAGAGCAAAAGGCGAGTAATCCAGCAGCTTGGTTTTACGGGAGT